CCTGCTCCTGCTACTGCTACTGCTACTCCTGCTGCTGCTGCTGCTGCTGCTGCTGCTACTGCTGCTGCTACTGCTACTGCTACTGCTACTGCTACTGCTACTGCCGCTGCTACTGCTGCTGCTGCTGCTGCTGCTACTGCTACTGCTGCTGCTACTACGGCTGCCACACTGCTGCTACTACTCCTCCTGCTACTCCTACTCTTCCTACTCCTCCTACTCCTCCTGTTCCTCCTACTCTCCTACTCCTGCTCCTCCTACTCTCCTACTCTCCTGCTCCTGCTCCTCCTACTCTCCTGCTCCTGCTCCTCCTACTCTCATACTCCTCCTGCTCCTCCAACTTCTACTGCTGCTCCTCTTGACTTGCTGCTGCTGGCACTGCTGCTGCTGCACCTCCTCCTAGGGTTGGGCTTGAGTCTTTGAAGGTTCCTGCCGGACAGGCGAACTCCGAAGCTCCATGTCACAGCAGAAAGCCCCGAATCCCTAAACCCTCAACCCTAAACCCTAAACCCTAAACCCTAAACTCTAAACCCTAAACCCTAAACCCTAAACCCTACCCTAAACCCCAAACCCTAGACCCTCCTCTCAAAGCTAAGGTCCAAGAGCTGTCGCTGGCAGACTTCGGGGTATGTGAAGCAACGCATGTAGGAGTGCCAAGCATGTACAGCTAGGCCGCGTCAGGCAGATGGGAGGTTTTTTGTGCATTGGGGTAATATAGGGGCGTTAATATTCTACCTATACTACTTTCTTTGGGGGCTCCTTATTTTAAGTATAACTATCAAGGCTGGGTGTTTTTCGGTAGAGCTTTCTGTCAGCTGAACCTTTGTGTGCCAGTGGGGCTTCAAGTTATCTTTGGGCTGCTTTTCTTTGCGCATGGCCGGCACGCAATCAGTCATTGACAAAGCATGGTTCCTGCTCGCAGTGATCTGGTTACGTCTTGTTTAGTGTGCTCCTAATTGCTCGCGGCGGGGTCCACTTGAATTGTCAGTATTTTGGGGATCAACCGCATGCTCCAAAACAGAAACTTCCGTCAGTCCCAGCCGGGATCGACGTCGTCGCCCTACATCTACATCAAGACACAAAGCCCGACGAGGCAAAGCCATGCGAGTAACCCTACAGCGCTACGCCGTATGCAGCAGCAGCCCTAAACCCTAAACCCTAGACCCCAAACCCTAAACCGTAAACCCTAAACCGTAGCTTACGAAGCTATGAGCGCCAAAGGGCGACCTTGGCGGCTTTCATTAGCAGCAGGTCAGAGACTTTCCTGCAGAGGTTTGAAGAAAAAATGCGCTTGGCTTCTGAAGGTGAACGACCAGGAAGCCGAAGAATAGAGGGGCCTTAATAATTAGAATAGGGTTTTGGGGGATCCTTATGATACTTCTAGTATAATATACCCCCCACACCCTATTCTAATTATTAAGGCCCCTACCTAGAAACCCTAAACCCTTAACCCTAAACCCCTAAACCCTAATTATTAAGGCCCCGACCATTACAATCCTAACATACCAGGTGGGCTTCATCGGATATGGGGGTTTCCGAAAATAGGGGACCCTAATATAGCAGCCTAAATAGTAGGATCCTTATTATAAGGACCCCCAAATAAGGTACCCCCAATTTTCGGAAACTCCCATATGCTTTGGCAGTGCGGTGGGCTGATGTGAGGCAGATCATTTGGTCCGGGGCTGCATTCTTTTGCAGCCTTCAGTCGGTTCAGGGTTTAGGGTTTAGGGTTTAGGGTTTAGGGTTTAGGGTTTAGGGTTTAGGGTTTAGGGTTTGAGCCTTTGAGTTGCAGCATCTCAGTTTGCGCGTGTTGCGAATGGTCTGATGTTGAGGGTACAAAGTGTTTACAGCTTTGCCCAATGCTGATGGTCTTTCGTACCGGGCTCTTTTCACAAAGGCAGGCTCAGACACATGGATCAAGATAGCACTGTTTGGAGTTGGCATTGAGGCATTGAGGTTTTAGGGTTGGAGCAGGCAGGGAGGGAGATGAGCTTGAAGGAGGAATCGGTGCCATCTGTTCTGGTGGTTTTTCCGTCTTCCCATGACATGTTCGTGCCCACATCGACTGTTCTAGCAGCCGACTTTCTCTCAGCCTGTGAATTGGGACTGCTGGATCTACTCCTGCGATCCGACATGGCGTGTGCTTTTTTCGGCTTGTTTTTATCCGTTGTCTTGTGTGCCACAATCTTCTGTGCTCGGGCTGACTATCTTCGCGGTCGTTGCGGACGTTGGAAGATTGCGGCTTACTCGTTTGTGGCGCTGTCGTCTATTGGAACTTCGTGAGTTGCCGCTGAAGGCACCCAAGCCCTAAGAAAGCCAACTACGGCTCAGGGAAAAGGGTCTAGGGCATAGGGCCTAATCCCCAAAAGCCTCAAAAACAAGCCCTAAGCCCTAAACCCTCAACCCTAAACCCCTAACCCCAGGCCGCCCAGGCCTCAAGAAGAGAACGCGAAGCCCCTAAGCCCTGCGCTCCTGGGCCCTGCACCGTGAATAAAGGAAGAGCACAGAGGGCCCTTTTCTTATGGTGGCGAGAGGATGATACCGTCCACCAAGACCCTAAACCGCTTCCTCCGTGCCTGAATAATGGGTAGTTGAATACTATTCCCTGGGGCTCCTTACTCCAAACGCCCTATGAAAGCCCTTTATGTAACTCTTGTCTAAAAGTCTCCCTAAACCCTAAACCCTTATAGTAGTATCAAATACCCCCCAAGAGGCCTATATGTAACTATAATCTTGTAGTATCATATACCCCCCAAAAGCCCTATATGCCCGGCAAAAGCCTCAGAGTTCGAAGCCCTGCCCTGCTCGAGTCATTGGGTGCCGTTGTTCCCCCTTGCCTTCTTCCCGTCGTTTGAGGGTTTAGGGTTTAGGGTTTGGGGTTTAGGCTTTAGGGTTTAGCGTTTGGGGTTTAGGGTTTAGGATTTGGGGTTTAGGCTTTAGGGTTTAGGGTTTGGGGTTTAGGGTTTAGGATTTTGGGGTTTTGGGTTTTAGGGTTTAGGGTTCAGGCTCAAGCTTCTCTCTTCGTGAGGGCTTGCGATTTGAGGGTTCTGCGTTTCAGGGGTGGGGATTGCGCAGCTGTTGGTTTGGGGTTTCGAGCAGGAGCGGACATGGTCGCTTGTCCCCGCCGCAGCATGTGCTTCAGTCTGGACCCGTGACGCCTGTGAGCGCCGCAGGCGCGAATCGGTTTCCATTCTTCTTCAACTAGTGTACATCACGTTCAGCTTGCGGGCCTCTCCTGCAAATCCAGATCTAGGCTTCAAGGCTTACGAAGGCCTACGTTTGCACGGTTAGGTTTCGGGTATTTTGGCTTCAGGGTTTGGGTTTCAGAGTTCAGGACCTGCGATGGGCTTCAGGTCATAGATTCAGGTCACCTCTGAACCTCCAAACGCGATCAGCCCTGCGAGCCTTCGGCCTCAGGCCTTTACGCCCCCAGACTCAGACCCTAAACCCTAAGCCAATGAACGCTGAACCTCATTCCCTCCAGCCCCCGAAGCCTCCAGACCCACCAGGGGCTTGGATGTTTAGTGGCGTTCGGTATCCGAGATGCTCCCTCTATGAGTTCCCCACACCAACCCCCGAATCCTAGTTCTTAAGGCTAAGCCCTTATGGAACCCTTGAGAGGAGCCCTTATGTGACCCGATTCTAGTTCCTGAGGCTCCTGTCCTAAACTTAAACTTATGCAGCCTTTCGCCTGCTGAGAGTCGAACCCTCTACCCTAAACCCTTACGGTATAGCTTAAAAATCAAACCCCAACAGCGCTGTATGAGACTCTTATGAAATCCTTTAACACCTCCGAGACTCCTGGAAAGGAACAAGGGCCTGTTCTTGCCGTCTGAGAGCCAATGTTGAAACTTCTCAAACCCGAGTCCCCAAGCCCTGAGCCCCAAGCCCTGAGCCCTAAACCCAAATCCCTCAACTACCATCTTCGAACTCTAAACCCTAAACCCCTAAACCCAAAGCCCTAAGCCCTCTAGTACCAAGTTCTCGGATCATATACCTTATAGAAGCCTTGTAGAAGCCCTATACACCCTAAACTCCCCACCTCTAGTTTCCTTTCACCAAGTTCTCGGATCAAGTGAACCACCCTAAACCCTAAACCCTAAACCCTAAACCCTAAACCCTAAACCCTAAACCCTAAACCCTAACTGTTTCTTAAGTTCTCGGATCAAGTGCTACAGACCGTCCCCTCCTTCCTTCGCTTGGTTTCTGGCGCCATGGCCGACGTTGCCGCAGCAGGGAAGCCTCAGAGCCAGGCCTGACCCTTCAGGGTTCGGTTAAGGGTTTAGGCTTTAGGGTTTAGGGTTTAGGGTTTAGGGTTTAGGGTTTAGGGTTCAGGGTTCGAAAATGTATTCCATGCGGGGTCTATGAGGGTTCTGAAAGGGTGCGTCCGGTTGGAGGTTTTAGTGGTTCTGTGGTTTCGTGTGTTTGTGCTTAGGCTTGAATGGATGGGAGCAGCATAGAGCCCTATGGGTTTACCCATATACAGCGATTATGAGTTGCGCAGGCCCTTACATTAGCGTGTGACTTTGATGCCTGATATACAGTCTCCTGATCGGGATTCCCGAGCCTAGCTTCCCTTGATGCCGCCTGTTCCGCAAACCCCAAACCCGAAACTGCTGTCGGAGTGGTTGGAAAAAGGGGGCGATGAAAACATGCACAAACCGCTGCTCAGCCTTGTGACAGGCTGAGTTCATCCTCTACACGACCCTCAGGAGCGTCGGTGGGCTTCCGGAGACCGCAAAACCATTAATTAGGGAACATATGTTGCATCATGTTTAGGATTCCTCCTTACTTTACGGTGCAGCGCTGGGGATTTTGGAGGCTGCAGCCTCGTGTCAGGATCATCGGCGTACTCGTCT